TCGTGGAACGTTTGTCTTTTTGTAAAGATGATTGCACCATGATTTGTTTGGCACACAGTTTGGCTTCAGACATGTGTGAAATATATAAACTAGCTGTGGTCACCGGTTTGATCGGGTATTGGCGTCTGGAAACCTTGGATATTGGGCCCTGTCCGAAAAGTGTATGATCTGATTTCATTTTTTTTTACACATTCTCGTGATAAACATTAGACAGGTTAAACCGCACAGTCGCAATGATCTGCCATTCGGTGACGGAAACCGCCAATCCAAGCCCCGGGACTTGGAGTAGCGAACCAGGTTAGGCAAGGTACTGAAATATTTTATTATTTCATTTTGAGCCAAACAAATCACGATACACTAATCTTTATAAAAAGAGTAAAAGTCCATTATTTACTCGAGAGCGCGATACTGCTAGGTTGCCCAGATCCAAGCAGGTGAATTTTCCTGGGGAATTAGTAATCGGAGCCTTCGGCTAACAAAAGCCCGGTCCGCAAAGCAGCGGGGCGGTGTACGAAAACCATTGGAGGACGGTGTCCAGTTGATCAGATCATACACCCTTTGGACGGGGTCAAACGTTCAAGGTGCCCAGCACACCGCAAAACCCAATCGATCCGGTGACCATTACCACGACCAGGAAGATATGGGTAAGTATGGTTTGTACGCCTCTCGCGTGGTATTGGAATGGACGACAGCGCAGCTGCCTAGCACCAAAGTTGAGGGGCCGCGGTGGGTTTGGAACCTCGAACTACATGGTCCAAAGCACGCCAGTGACAGCGACTGGACCGATGCACCACCACCTGGGCCCCGGCCCCCAATGGATTGTGGTTATCACACACTGTCCCTGTCTCGCGGATCAGGCTTTGACCAACTGAAGTATCAGGTTTTTAATCAAAAAAATGGCCTGTGGAACCTGGCAGTATTCCGTCTACAAAAAAAAATCATTCCTTGTTATACGGATAATTGCACCGTTATTTGATTGGGACAGTTGGACTCAATTATAGAATATGGTGTATCACAATATAATATACTTCGATTTACGAATTCATCCACTTCACAGGACGGATCGATGATGCAGCTATATCTAAAATATCAGAGAATGTAGATCAGAACATGCTAAATGACCTGTCAGTCTGTGTCAGGGTTCAACGTGATTTAACACCCCAGTTAGTAAAAATGGAAGAGTAACCAGATGAGATGGCAATTAACCTTACAGTCTGCTTTGATTTTGAAATTAAGGGCTTGGACTAAGAACCACAATGTGTCCATTTTAGCAATTGGTTCTTAACTAAATTCATCTATAGGGTTTAAAAGAATATGGAAACCAAAATGAATTCCCCAGAGCATTGTGAATCAAGTGGGATAATCACTAACGAGTTTTTAGTCGTATCAAGTGTAGTAGCAGCGATCAATGAGGTACTGCTTGGGTATTCTAATCTTCGATCTCGTCTTCTTATGAGGCTCTACTTGTAGCGCCAAATTTTCTCGAGGTAGGTAGAGGATCGCAGTGAGTAAATCTGATAGATTAGGAAACGATATCGTGATTTTGTGAACCAAGCAAACAGAAAGTGAAAAGTGTCTGAAAACAAAGAAGGGGTTGACGTGAGAATGAGATCAGGTACATGGGCAGGGTGAGACCCTCAATATGGGAAGGTCAATTAGCTGTACAAACAGATATTCAGCCTCAGAAGTGTCAGAAGAGTTTGTCAGCCATTCCTGATTAAAAATACTGAAATCTCCCGATATGATGGTATAGCCACTGAGACCCATAACCAAATGATCACCGTTACAAGATAAGAAATCGAACATGGGTTCGCCATTGTCTGATGAATGATAAACAACATGGTGACGATTGAAAGTAGGAGCTTCAGCTTCCCATGTAATTTATGATTGCAAGAGTCAAGATTCTGCGTTCTTAAGGTGGCAACTGATTGGTGGACAGACATAGACACCAGCACCGTGTAAAACGGACTGGAAAAGGCAGTTCCACATTCGGATGCGAGTGATTTGCGACGAGAGGGAGATGTTGGTTTCGGTCAAAAACAGAGTGAAAGGAAGAAAACTGGGTGTAGGCGGTAGCTGATAGGAGTAGCACTTCTGAGTGACCCTTGGGGGCGTCCGCCTCCTCTTTGGCTTCCATCATGCACTCAACTCGCATCCGTCGCTCCATGAAACCGAGGCATGCATCAAACGTCACACCCCGTCAAACCGCTCGACAGAAGGGCTAAACCGGTTAAAGGGTAACTGGGGTGGGTTTATTATCACACTCTCGCGTGAACAGCAGACGGGTTAAACCCCATAGCCACGAGGATGTGATGATCAGTGATGGAAATCGGTAACAAAGGCTCCGGAACTTGGAGTGGTGAACCACATAAGGCCCCGATAGGTTAGGTGTGGTATTGAACCGGACGACCGCAAAGCTACCTACCAGCAAAGTTGGGTGGCGGTGGTGGGGCTCGAACCTCAGACCATAGGGTGCAGCGTACAGCACGAGAAGACAGCTCCCCTGGAATGGGTATCAAGTCAAATCAAATCAAGAGATCTACTATTTAATATAACAGTTATGAAGGAATACTGACTAACTAACGGGGAAGCACGGACCCCTGAGCTGCAGCTGCATTATCGGATAGCAAGTGACCTACCACGGAGCCGTCGGCAATCATGCGCCAACACATCCCTGCCTAGCAGTAGGCGCTTAACTGCACACAGGCTAGAGGTGTACCCTCAAAAGAAGCTGTCTAGGGACGTCTGTCGTACCAAACTCTCATGAAACTTCATGATTATTTTGCCTATAAACTCCATTCCTAGAGCGGGTTCATCTTTCCCAATGAATCAGTCGAAAAATAGGGAAGAAAACTGAACGAATTAGTGTGCAGAACTAATGATGCGTTGCAGTCCGCAAATGTTGGTGAGAGTGATATAATGGTTGCTTGCTAGTAGGCAGCGTGTGCACGCGAGTGTGTTCACCATTGTCAAAAGAAAATTGGTAACCATAGTCCTGAGACTTGCAGTAGCGAACCACATAAGACCTAAATAGAACAAGCCTCTTGTGAGCCGGATAACAAAAAACTCTCAAGATTATGGGGGCTGTTTCTATAATTGCGTCAAGTGGGTAGGCGAAGAGTAAAATTGAGACATCTTCACATCACTATATTCTGTCCAGAAACCCGAGTAAGTTGAAAGCTTTTCTGGATAGTTTGAGTGCTAGTGTAAAAGATAGGATGTACAAGATAGGATTGATCAGCCCCAAACCTCACTCTAACTGGGTAAGTAGTGGTGGAAGTATACAAATTTTGTTATTTGGGAAGCTGTATCTCACCTGACGGACGCGTTACAGATGAAGTGTTGGCACGCATACAGAACGTTTGGTTGGCATTTACCAACATGAGACATCTGAGGCGCCGCCGCAATATCGGGCTGTCTGTGAAGGGTTGAGTACATGTTGCAGAACCTTGACAAGATGTGATGGCTTGTGCACCTCTATAACCCAACGAGCTACACAGGATGGCTTTTGTCAAGCCACGAGATCTTATTATGTCTGGAAGGTCAGAGGGTAGAGGTTAGACAAAGATCAATCTCCTGGTCCTCCAGGTTGCGGGTTAGACGCGAGTTAGCGTCTCAGTCGGTAAAGTGGTAGAAAAGTAATCGATTCAAGTAAATGAGCCTCTACTTCGCTTTACCCGTTGCCCTGCGGTCAGGTTCAAGGCTTTGAACGAGAACCCCAATCGTTTTCCTGCTTAGTGGATGGACACCCTGGCAGTATCCGTCCATCAAGCTCCAATGTACACAAACAAAA